GAGTGTGTTGGCAAAGGCAGAATTTAAAACTAATTCTTCTAATTGAAGGTTTTTTTCCCTATGTATGTGTATCGATCAGGGGAATGTCTATGTATCAGGCAACTTCTGGGACCCTGGAAAAAGTTCTCTGCTCCCCCTAATACTCTATTCACTCTTTACTGAAGCCTAAAATTAAGCTATTTGATTTCTAGGTTTTTTTTTTTTTAATGTGGATAAATAGAAAAGGCATTTTATTTTTAAATTGTAAAATATTTAATTGACAAATAAAAATTATATCTATTCATGGTGTACAACGTGGTGATTTGATATATGTGTATATTGTGTATTTAACACCATAGTCAGATTAATTAACATAACCATCACCACCTATGGTTACCATTTGTGTGTATGTGTGTGTGTGTGTGTGTGTTGAAATATGCTCTCATCAAATTTCAAGTAAACAATACTTGATTAACCATCACCATGCTGCATATTAGATCCCCAGAACTTATTCATCTTGCATAACTGAAACTCTGTACCCTTTGACCAACATCTGCCTGTTCCCCCCTCCACCTGGCCCTTCAAAACCCCTGTTGTACTCTCACACCCCCTTACTTGTAGATGGAGCCTCCAGATTTGATTTAATCTGTCTTAAACTAATAGAGAATTTTAGCAGTTGTGTTTCTCAACTCAAGAATGACCTGTATTTTGGGCAGATGATTTTTTTTATTGTGTGATACTACCTGGCCACTGAAAGATATTTAGCGTTCTTGGTCCCACCTACTAAATGTCATGTGCTCACCAAAGCCCTTTTGTCAACCAAAGTGAAACAGCTCTACTTACTTCCAAGTTCACCCTAGGGTCCTAAGCCCCAGCACCCTGCTGGGAACTAGTGGCTTAAGTCCTTCTTGTGGCAACCTTCAGATTTCCCCTAAGTTACACCAGAGGGGAAAGCAAACGGAAAACAACAGGGAGTTGGAGAAGGAAGTGTTGCAGGCCAGACCCACTCATGCTAAACGAACATGACACAGAGAGTGCAAAGACCCCAAGCAGGGAGGAAGGAAGAAGCACGAAGCAGAGCACGAACGCCATCCTGGACGTGTTGGGTATGGAGGCAAGGCCCAAGGTGAGGAGAACAGGTAAGGACTCAATGAAGAAGCAAACCAAGTCCTACACATCCAAATGTCCCCTGAGATCAGAGTCCACAATTAGTATTCATTAAAAAGACACTGCAAAGGTTCCATATATTCTGCTGTAGAGGGTGGGGAACGATGCCTAGAACAATGCCTGATACATACTAAGCCCACAGTAAATACAAGTTTAGTAAATCAATACTCTTGAAAAATAACCATGGAAGATATCCAAAATCTGGATGCCTACAGGCTTACTTTTCAGTCACCTGAAAAAATCTATTAATTGACCTCACTTCTCTAGCATGTCACTTTTCTTTTTCTAGAGAACTCAGCACTCACAGGCCTCGACAGTTTACCAATTCAACAAAAATAGTCACATTTATGCAACTGGCTTATCTACTTGTGTTCAGAACAGGTAAGTAAGTATACTGAGAGAGGACTGTGGGTCCTTCCTTCAGTTCCAGGAAGACAGACATGCACAGGACATGAGCCAGGAAAGTGGTAGGTATGTTGCCCCATGCACTTTGCCCCATGGAAACTGCTAATCCTGCTTGCAATCCCATGCAATAAACTATTACCAACATGCAAATGAATTACTTTGATACAAATGTATACACATATTTACAAAAATTTCAAAATACTATGCATGCTACATGCTATTTTATATACTGATTTTCAAATTTAACCATATGATAGGAACGTTATTAAATATTCCACTTTAATATCTTTTTAAATAGACTTTATTATTTAGAGCATTTTTAGGTTCATAGCAAAATTGAACAAAAGGCACAGAGATTTCCCATATACCCCCTGCCCCCACATATGCACAGCCTCTCCCAACATCAACATCTCTCACCAGAGTGATCCATTTGTTACAATTCATGAATCTACATTGACACATCATCATCACCCAAAGTCTACAGTTTATATCAGGGTTCATACCTGGTGCTGTACATTCTGTGGGTTTGGACAAATAAATGACATGTACCCACCACTGTGGTGTCATACAAAGCAGTTTCACTGCCCTACAAATCCTCCTGTGCTACACCTAGTCATCCATTCCTACCCACAACTGCTGGCATTATTTTTAATACATATAAAATATTCCATCTGAAAGATAAGATGAATCAAATGTATTAAACCAGCCTCCTAAAAATAGGCTTTTTGATTATTTCAGATTCTTTGCAATTATAAACCACACTCTGATGGACATCCCAATAGCTGGGTATTTGTATACAAGTGTGAATATTTCTTTACAATACATTCTTTTTTTTTTTTTCCTTTTTCTGTGTCCGGCAACGGATCGCAACTCTCAGTGTTGCCCCCGTACCGGACTGGGACCGGCAACGGGATCGCAACCCTCGGTGTTGCTCCCACGCCTCGCTCAGCCAGTGAGCGGGAACCGGTCTGTATGTGGGATCTGAACCCTCGGCGGGAGCGCCGCTGCGCTTCCCAAGCGGCGCACTACAGCAGTGCGCCACCAGGCCGGCCCTACAATACATTCTTAAGAGTGGAATTTCTGCATCGAAGTATATTCAAATTTTGATGTGCATTTAAAAAGTTTAGTTAAAAATGTTTGTACCAGGCCAGTCCGTGGCTCACTCGGTAGAGTGTGGTGCTGATAACACCAAGGCCACGGGTTCGGATCCT